CCCCGGCCCAGCCATCAACAACGACACATTACACTTTTACTGCACCTTTCACTTCCCAAGGTGCTGGGCAGCAGGGATTTGGACGTTCCTGCTGGGTGAGAGTGTCCCATTAAAGATACATATTTGGGGTCCCTGCGCCGCCTGCTCAGAGCTGGACAAGTCCAAATTAGCATCGTAGAATCATAGAATCCTGCAGCACAGAAGGCAGTATTCCATAAACAGCCCCATGAAGTACAAGACTATTTTTACCTGGGGGACTGTTGGCCAGGGTATAGGAGGCTTAGAGCAAGAATAGAAAGAAGACAGATCCCAACAGCCCGGGTTGCCATTCACCTACAAATATACAATCATTGCACTTTACAGTAAAATCTTGTGAGATGTTTCAATAATAATAATAACCCTTACGTTAGGCATTAGGAATAGCACTCTTCACATCAGGAGCGAGTCTCAAACTGCTTCACAGGATAACAACATCAAACAACAAATTGCATTTATATAGCGCCTTTCTAGTCCGGAAGACGTCCTTACTTCTATCCTCATGGATCTCCTTGAAGCAGAACTGGCTCCAAGGTGACATGCTTGGCAACAGAATGCCAAAATCAAGCCCCACCCTTTGTGACAGTCTCTAGTCCGGTTCCTGAGCCACGCGGGTCTGCAGTATTCCAGGGCACTGCTGTTGACAGCACAGCTCAGCCTGGACCTGGAAGGGCAGACCAGTCACTGGGAGCCGGGAGTGAAAGGAGAGAATTCTGAACGAGGGTTTGTAAAATAATCCCTGACAAAGGGACTGAAAGTCAAACAGCACGTGGTGGGTGGTGCGTGGTGGGCGGGGGGGTGGAGAGGGAGGGGAAGGGGAAGAGGCAGAGAGGAAGGGGGAGTGGAAGGGAAGGTGAACGTAAACTGAATCCAGTCAGTCCTTGTCTGAGAGGCAAGCATTGCCGCTGATCCAATGTTCCATGGCAGGAATTCACCAGTAGGGGTCTATGTGCCAACGCTGGAGACAGAACGAATGGTTTCTGCAGTTGTTTTTAAAAAGCTGCTTTCACTAATAATCCTTTTTGAAAGGTCCAGGGAGTTTTGAAGAGTTTATCCTAGACTGGAGCAATCAATTCTCATTTTGAGATCAATTTCTGCTGGGTTCTCACCTGGCAGTGCTGGGACCGTGTGGCTCCAACAGCAACCCAGCAATTTTTGGCTTCAAATCCTTTTTTAAAAAAAAACACGTTCCCAGTTTTTAATCTGGTTTATTGTTTCGGATCAGGCTTGTAACTGAGAACGAACATGCCCGTTCGCAAAGCTCTTCTCTTGCTGCAGGGAGCTGGCTACGGGATTCTGTGCGCTCTTCCCTCCCCTTCCCCCACCTCGCCCCCCCCCACCCCACCCCGACTCACCAATTATCCTGTATCATTATCAGAATACAGCAATAAGAGAGAATAATAATCCTTGCGTTTGATATAGCACCTTACCATGTCGTTGAGACGTCTCAAAGCGCTTCACAGAATATACTTTGAAGTGAATTGACTGTATTTTGTAGGCGATGGAGCCAATTGCGCACAGCAGCGTCCCACAATCAGTTGTGGATCGAGTGTTTTTATTTATTATTACCCTCGGAAAGCAATCCGCCAATCGACTACCAACCCGTTTCCTACTTACCCTAAGTAAGCAGAAGTATGTGGAGTAAAGTAACTTGCCTAAGGTTTTGCCCCGCCCTGGGAATCGAACCCAAGTCTTCTCGCTTGCGCTAACCACTACACTACAGGACTCCACAAAGTGGCTTGTTGACAGCTGACACTGAAATAAATTCACTTGAAACTCCAGAGTGACTGGTAGGGACACTCCTCGTGGACTGGTGGATCATGCACCAGTGTTCAGAGCTTGCTGTGATCCAGTCCTTCACCGTTGCAAACAGATGACTGTTCAACAAGAGATGGTAAAGCGAGAGCGTCGTTGTATTTTACCCGGGTTACCACCCCTCCTTTCTAATGAAGATACTTGCTTTATGTGCCATTTTGTGGCCGCAATAAAAGCAATAAAAGTGTTTTGACACAAGTCAAATTCTGGGATTTGGGAAGTGCGTTTTCTGCTCTTTGCGGTCAGGCAGAAAGAAAAGGAGGGGGTGGGGGAGGGAGTAATAATAGCAATCCTTATATTGATGAGGCGTCTTTCATGTCAGGAGGATGTCTCAAAACACTACACAGGATATACTGTAAAGTGCATTTGACTGTGTACTTTTGTGGCATAAGGTGCTCGTGCATGACGTCAGGCAGGTCGTCTGAAGTCTTACTGCTTAAACTATTGACCTTGCTCAAAATGTTGAGGCTATTTATCGAGTCTAAATGGCACTCATTGACATGAACCTTGCGCTCATTATTCTAACAGAACGTCTGTACCTGGGAGGCATTCAAACCTGTGAAATAAATTTGGAAGAGATGATTCCTAATAGACTACACTTTCAATACACAGAGAAATCAAATTAGGTTGCGTGAACGGAGACAGCCTGGGAGGCAGATCGAGACGTCATGGGGAGCATGTTGATTCAGATGAAAGAAAATTAATAAATTTCCTGATCTGTGTAGCCAGACAAACCACCGGTGACAACTCGAAGACAAACTCACCAAATCCAGAGTTCAACACCAAAACCAGAGCTCTCCACCAAATCCAGAGCTCACACCAAAACCAAGTTCATCAGTAAGGGCACGGCGAACATTGTAAATGTGACTCTAAAATCCCATTGTTAGATTGCACAGAGCAGAAAGCGTTTAGAACCCCAAGACCTGCACCAAAATACAGAAGAAAAGGAACATGTCCTTCTGACTTTATACACGAGGTGGCAGTGACGCAGTGCATCAGAGGTAACAGGAGGCCTTGTGAATTTGCTGCGAGTGACATCTGGGAGCACACAATGAAATGTTCGTGAGAGTGGTTTGCGACTGACTGGATATATGCAGGACATATGTCACCAGCGACCTGAAGCAATGGAAGTGAGCCCAGCGGTAATTTTATCTTGTGGACCCACGGTGGCGGGCGGGGGTGGGGGGGGGGCGGTTGGGGTGGGGTCTAACGTTTTGGATCTGCCTTGTTTTGTATTAGCTTTCGTTATTCTTACTGCAAAGCACAAGAGTAATATAGTGCACACTGGCAACAAATGCACATATGTTTGTCGCGGGTACCAAACCCCACGTCCCCTCCGTTCCAAGAGAGAAGGAATGAAAACAAAACCCATTGTTTCTTCAAGCCAAAGAAGTGAATTAGGTTCCTCCTCTCTGGTTGCTGTAGAGCAGAAAATGGACCATATATTGAAGAACCATTGCTGCTCCACTTGGAGAGTTTGCTTAATCATGTCCAACCCGCCCCTCTCCCCCACTGTAAAATACGGACTGAAACTCACCTATTGGGTAACCCAACAGAGAATAGACTGAGCACTGCACAGCACAGGACTGAGATTGCACATTGTCGTTTAGCCTGATTTCCGGGAACAGTCCTCGGATGAGGAATTGTGTCCCTGGAGCCAAATTTTCTCTGTCTTGAGTTCAACCGCAAACTGAACGAGAACGATAACATTCCAAAAGAGATACAGGTATCAGAGACAGAAACATAGCCATCAATCCAACAAGCTTCTCCAGCATCAGCAATTGTGGTGAGTTACATTCTTTATATATGTGTCCCTGGATTTGCTTTACAAAATGTGGTCACACTGAAGACCAATTTGGCTCAGAAGTATGAACAATTCTGAAATCGAGTCTTAATTAAGACTGGAATTTAATATTCTTGGGCAGAATCTGCATGGATTTTCCACGCTTCTGCCACTACCTTTAGAATTTAAGACAAAATACTTTGGCACAGATGCTAAGGCTGGCCTCACACTATTTTAACACCATCCTGCTAGGGGTAGTATCCTACTTGTCCACTCTGTTCCACCATCGGTGGCTGTGCTTTCAGCCACTATGTTGAGAAACTCTGGAACTCTCTCCTTCAATCCCTCCGCCTTGCCCCCTCCCTCCCCACTTTCAAATCCCGCCTAAAGACCTTCCTTTTTGATCGTCCTTACGGTCAACTCCCCCTCCCTCTCCCCCTGGCTCAGGGTCAGACTCCTCCACTGTTAAGCGCAAAACTAGTGTCTACTAGTCAGTTCCTCATTTCCTTTTTAACGCCTAAGACATTTGCACTGCACAGTAGAAGGTAATGATTTGGGACTATGTGGTTTATTCAGACTCAGATTAATTGTTTTTTATAAGAATGGTCACGGGGAAAATTATTCAACAAACCAAATTATTTGTATGTCCCATAATCAATTAACCAATCTATATGCTTAGATTACACGTGCAAATGGTTTAAATTCTATTCACTAGATGGAACAATTCAATTATCCAATATTCAATTAACCAAATTTCGCTGTATTGATACCAATTCCATTCCTGGAACCTGAACCTTTTTCTGCAGTGACTCTCCTTTGTTTGCACTGGTAGATTCCAGACATAGAGAGATAGAGAGAGAGATGGAGAGAGAAAGTGCTCAAGGAATGAGAGAAAGACATTGAATAACAGTAGTAACACAGCGGGAAGGGCAAATGCACTGAAGCTCACCTTCACCAAGCGATTCAGTAATATCTTTTTATATTTCTCTTAGGGTTGAGAATGAAGAACGATTGAAAGATGCCACGTTAACCATCTGCCTTTTGGTCAATAAATCCAGTCGCCGGTGATCCCCTAGGTGCAGTTGTCAAACATCTGCTTCTTATTGGACAGCCACACCACAAATCTGAAATCATCTCACCATTACTCTCCATACGCCCGGCTACCACAAGAATCACATTGTGAAGTAAGTGACATTGGCCATATGCTTTGGCTGAGTTTGTAAAGGGAAACTTGTGAACATAAGACCATGAGAATTGCGAGATGGAAGAGGACCAAGGTCCATCCAGTTCTCCTTCTGCCATCCTGGCTCACATGTACATGTCATGCCTCAAGCTATGTACTGCACTGGGGAGTGTTGACTCTTACCTGAAGGTGCCCATGAACACCTGGCCAGGAGCGGACTCCTTCGTCTGATTGTAGTAGCCGTAGAAGACGTCTCTGAAAAAGTTTGGTTCAGCGGAATATTAACATCGACACAATCCAGGTCGTTGCTGCAGGATTCGGAAACCAACTGGCACATGCGCCCGTCTGGGGCAAGCTTATAGTCCTCGATACACCTGCGAAAGCACAGGGGCCACCGTTACAAACCCACAGTAAACAGGCATGGGTTATTCCTTTAGTTCAAGAGTTCGATAGCGTATTGGTTAGAGCACTTGCCTCGCAGGTGAGAGGACCCGGGTTCAATTCAGTTTATAATAATAATAACAATAATAATCCTTGCATTTGATATAGTGCTTTTCACATTTTCTAGACATCTCAAAGCGCTTCACAGAATATGCTGTTAAGTGAATTGACCGTATATTTGTGGGCGAAACGCGGTAGCCAATTGCACACAGCAGTGTCCCACAAACAGTCGTGGATTGAAAGTGACCAATTTATTATTGTTTTGTGTTTTGGAGGGATTATTATTAGGCGTGTGGCGTAAGGAAACTTGTCCAAGGTTTCGCCCTGACTGGAATTGAACCCAGGTGTCTCACTTGCAAAGCGAGTGCTCTAACCACTGAGCTACAGGACTTCACGTTTCCTTAAATTTCCTTACTTCCCATGCCTCAGTTTACCTAGCAGTAAGTAGGAACCTGGTCATTAGTCAATTGTCGGATTGCTTTCCGGAGCTAATTAATCCCATAACAAATTAAAAAAAATAATTTGGTCACTCTATCCACGACTGTTTGTGGGACACTGCTGCCACTTTTCGCCCACTAAAAATGCAGTCATTTCACTTCACAGTATATTCTGTGAAGCGCTTAGAGATTTCTCAAAGAATATGATAAGGCCCTGTATCAAATGCAAGGATTATTTTTATTATTACTATTATTATTGTTTAGCATAAGAGGTGTTTAGGAATGAGTGCGGTTCCTGCTTTCTGCGGAACGCATCAACTTGCCTGTGAGAAAGGGCATGCGTCAAACAAGGAGTTCAAGCGAATTCATTATATTTAGCAGCCATTATATTAATTGCATGTAAATCATAAGCTTGTGAAAGAAAGTTCAGTAAGAGCTACAATATCCTACCTTGTGCATAAAGCTTACCTAATGAGATTAAGTCAGAATGACAGTATTATTGTGATAATGCTTCATTACCTCTCTGTCAGATTGTAATGAAGATGAGATGGGATCTTTGTCCCTGTGATTTTTTGAAAAAAAACTAGCTTGATGAATTACCACTAATTAATTTTGTTTCTGCAACTCTCTGAAAGGCATCTCCAACTTAATTATAACAGAGTAAGCCGAAAAAGTCACCAAACTATTAACACAGAAAGTGACCTTTCAGGTTCCCCGCTATTTTAATTAAGTGGGAGTTGTCCTTTCAGAGTTAACATCTGTAAAAGCGTATGTGTCTTTGCAGAAAGGATTAGGAGACTTTAATGAGTTTTCCAGCATATCAATGAATTATGCACGCATCTTCCATCCAGGTGTGATAAATCCAGCACTTCCAAAGAACTACTGTGCATTATATAGTAAACTCCTAATAACTCGACCCCACCTTAACATGTCACTACCTCTTAGGTCATTGTGCTATCAATATCCCGGCCACATTTATTTATGTATTTAAACATATATGTCTAACTTGCTACTCTGGATAACTCGTTACTGAGCCTCTTTTCCCATAGAGTGATGAGTTATCAGGAATTTTGTTGCATCCTAAAGTATTATCTCTCCTATATGGTATATGGGCACAGATTGGTTGCAGAAAACTTCATGTCATCATAGGGAATTCATAATGTCACCTGCCTCCATCGCCACCTCACCTCCAAAACAGCTGATCCATGCCTTAGTCACCTGTAGACACGATTAGCCTTACGTTCCTCTTGCTTGCCCTACTAGCTCGACCCTACATCCCGAATGTCACGCCAGTATCCACTCCTCACCCAGCTCTGTAAGCCCGTCACTCTCATCCTCATCAGACCTCGATGTCTCCTGGTTCACTACCCCATCCCCCTCAAGACCGTTATTCTGCCCCATAAATTCTTCCATGTTTTCGCTTCTCCCGTTTCTCCTATTTCAAAATACTGATGAGAAATAATTCAATAAGACAATTGTGACATTGGCCAGGATCTTAGAATGAGCAATTAATTTCTGTCAGGCTCCCGCAATCCCCTCACATGCAGCCCCATTATACAGAAACCTCATGCTAAGACCATATCGCTTTCTGTAGCAGTTTCAAACTGCCTGGCTCAGTTAGTAGCCCTTCTCGCCGCTTGCTCAGACGGTTGTTGGGTTCATGGTGCAAGTCGGGACTTTGAGCTCACACAGTCTAGACTCACGTCCCAGTGCAAAGCTGGGGGAAGTGCTGCACTGTCAGAGGTGCCGTCCGTCTGATGTGACGCTAAAACCAAGTCCAATCTGCCGATTGTTAAACATACCATGGCCCTATTCAAAAAGAGAAGGGAATTTCTCCTGGCGTCCTGGCCGACAATCAACAGAGAATGGGAAAAACACGATCGATGAGGAGGTGGTGGGGGTGGGGGTGTTGGTGGGGGAAGCAGGTTTTACAAAATAATGAGATGAAAGTCCGTGGTGTGGTGTTTATCGGAATTTCAGAATCAGAAACGATGCAAATCCAATCAAATCAAGTTGAACTGACTTGATTTGAATCATTTAATTGGACACTGCAGGACACTAGATGACAAACACTTTTTTTTCTCCGCCAGCGTTTGGGTCCTGCCTGATCTATTTACTGATTTACTGTCAGTGAGGCAGGTGCGAGGTGGGAAGTCATGGCCCTCCATCTCATTTTCACAATAAACTCAAGTCATTATAACGTTCAGGTGGGGATTGTCGCAACCTGTGATGGTGGGATGGGGGTGGGGGTGACTTGTGGAGCGCTCCTGATTCCTCCTGGGACCAGACGGAATGATTATTTCACAAACGCTGTCCACAGCAGAGCCTTACATCAACAGGGAGAATGAGACACAAGTGGATTCCTATTGAATCAGTTCATGCTTCCAGCCGGAGGCATTCAATGCTACTTCGGTAAACTTTTATTGATCACATCTGTCCGCGAGGGTTTGGGTATTTGCGTACGAGTATGTGTCCGCATACATGTGTTGTGTGTATGTGTGTCAGCACGGGATTGTACATGTGTTGTGTGGTCATGTGTGTCAGTCAGCACAGGACCCGTACATGTGTAGGGGTTCGAATGTGTGTCTGCTGTGGGTTTGCACATATGTTTTGTATGAATCCATGTTTGCATGAGTTTGTATGTGTTTTATGCGTGAATACACCTCCGACAATGCAGCGCTCGCTTCCCCCATCCCCACCCACAGCACTGGAGTATCAGTCTGGACTACGTGAGTTGAAAGTCACAACATGAGGCAGCATTTGATAACAATCAGGGCAATCAATAGCGGATCGTTTCAATGATAAGGTATTCAAGGATTATTTGTTACAACATCTTCAAACTGATACATTTTCCTGTAATCGGGTGTTAATCTGATTGCACCGCGAGGTTTACAGGCCCCATTGTCTCAGAGACAACGATGAGGCAAGAAAGAGGAACGGAAATAAAAAAAACATTCTGCAAAGCGAAACTCAGTCACATCTCAAAGAAATAATAACTGGCATCTCTCCAGAAATTGGAGAGTAACCCAATATGTACAACACAAATCACTCCATCTTCTCGGCTTTCTCGTTGTGCATTGAGTTATTTGAACCCCTGGATTGGATTAGTGCGCTGTAACTCACTGACAGGCACTGGCACTCTTCATAACCCTCTCAACATCACGATTGTGTTACTGGAGCCCATTGAGGTAGTGCTGAGTGGATTACACGCGACATTCTGTAAAATCAAATCTATATTAGAGCAAGAAATAACTTGCGGCTCCAATTGGAGAATAACGGCCCCTCAGCTAAACCGAGTTTGTCCTGATAATTTACTCGTTTAAGGGGTCGGAGGATGCCTTATTTGCTGAGCTGCTACTTAACACAATGCGCTAGAGCAGAAGATGAACAGAATTCCATTCTATCTCTTTTTATCATCGGCTTTGAAGTCTTCAGCAGTGCCTGAGCAAATCTCTCCATATTCTCTCATTATTTATACTCACCTGTTTATCCCTTTAGTAACAACAACAACAACAAGAAGCATTTATATAGCACCCGTCACACAGGAATGCTTCAAATTTACAGTCACCCTTTAACCCCTTTTTACCTGTACTTTTTACTCCTTGTTTTTTTTTTCCTCTGATGAATCTTGTGCTCATCCATGTTCTTCGAAATTGTGCACTTTCTAATCATCCAATCAATAATAATAGTAATAATCCTTGCATTTGATATAGCAATTTATCATGTCGTTGAAATATCTCAAAGTGCTTCACAGAATATATTGTGAAGTGGAGTGACTGTGTATTATGTGGGCAGAGCCCGGCAGTGGTGATCACACGTTTTTTCAGGGGGGAGCAGATGGGCTAAGGAAACTTATCTAAGGTTTTGCTGGGAATTAAACGCAGGTCCTCTCGCTTGCGAGGCGAGCAAGACTATAGGACTCTACAATGAACCAGTTTGAGATCAGGAGCAGCCTGACTTGGTACAGAGTGGTGCCATCCCTGTCCTGTACCTTTCATTTGCCTCACACAATAGCTCTGCTGCTGGATGGTGCATTTCCATGAATTACAATAAAATCCCTGTGGCATGTCGGACCCAGATTCAGTGCCAAATCACAGACCGTGAATGCTCTTCACATCCAAACTGGACTTTGTACCCGCGTGTCTGATTTGTGGTGTGTTATGGTGTGAGTGTGCGTGGGCTAAAACAAAATACACATGCCATACATGTGTGATGAGCTTGTTTAGGTTATAGCTCATCAACGATAGGAGATAATCCCCTAAAAATATGCCCATGACACTCCCCCTAGCAAGATGAATCATGTCTCTACGTCAATCAGGTATTAAGTTCTTAGTGGACTGACAGTCAGACACACAGACATTACATCTTTATTAGTAAAGAAGTAAATAATCCTTGCATTTGATATAGCGCCTTAACACACTACTAACCAGTCTCTCTCCTTAGGATCAGTTCCACTCGCCCTCAAAACCCAGTCATCACCCTCCTCCTTAAAAAACCTACCCTCGATCCCTCCAACCTCGGCCATTACCGCCCTATCTCAAACTTGCCCTTCCTTGCCAAAGCTCTGAAATGCGTTGCTGCCAACCAACTGCGCGCACACCTCTCCTGCCACACCCTACTCGAAGCCCTCTAGCCCGGTTTCCGCCCTGCCCACAGTACAGAGACAGCACTCGTGAAGATCACAAACGGTATCCTCTCTATCTGTGACCAGGGCTCCCCCTCCCTCCTCGTCCTCCTGGACCTCTCTGCAGCATTCGATACAGTCGAACATGCCATCCTCCTCCACCGTCTGTCCTCCATCATTCACCTCAGTGGGACCGCATTCGCTTGGTTCGAGTCCTACCTTACAAACCTCCAGCACTACATTTCTGCAAATGGCTTTTCTTCTCGCTTCCACCTGTGGGGTACCCGAAGGATCCATCCTTAGCCCCCTTCTTTTCCTCATCTATATGCTCCCTCTCGATGATGTCATCCGCAGACATGGGGTTAACTTCCACATGAATGCGGATGACACTCAACTCTACTTTTTCACCTTCAGCTGCGACCCCGTCTCCTGAAGTTCTGTCAGCTTGTCTGTCAAACATCAGGAGCTGGATGAATGCAGCCAACTGTGCAGAGCAGTGTCCCACAAACAGTCCTGGATGACTTTACACTTCACAAAATAATGTGAATTGACGGTATATTTTGTGGGTGAAACATGGCAGCCAATTGCGCACAGCAATGTCCCACAAACAATCATGGATTGAGTGACCAAAATAAACATATATATTTTTTTGAAGGGATTATTACCCCTGGAAAACTGATCTGCCAGTCAATTAACAATTGGGTTCCTAAGCACTGCTAGGGGAACAGAGGCGTGTAGAGTAAGGAACCTTGCCTAATCTTTCGCCATGCCCGAGAATCAAATCCGGTTTCTTTTGCTTGTGAGGCAAGTGCTCTAACCACTAAGCTACAGGACATCTAATTTTGTTACGATACACTGCGTCAAATTGGTGCTGTACTTCGCTCTGCAGCGCTCGGGGTCAAAAGCAGAAAGATACTCTGATTCCCCCGGGCTGGGTGAGTTTGTTTTCAGAGCACAGCATGTGAGAGCAGTGGGATTTTATTTGCTACATAAGGCAAATGAGCAGGAGGTGGTTGGCAGGATGGTGTCAGCAAGTCAGGAAGGCAGGCACTCAGGCAAGGTGCGATAACTATCTATCTCAAGGAGCAAATAGGATCAGCAGGGGACCACGTCTCTGATTTGGAAGATCTGAGGATCAAGCGAGGGGAAAGGGAGAAGCGATGCTTCCGTCAAAAATGAAAGAGGCCTCAGAGAGCAACAACATTCAGAGGACATAATTAGGACAGGTACAGCAAACACAATCACTCCACGTCTGTGTGAAGCATTTGAGCGCTCCAGTGGTGCTGAGCAAAAGCTCCGCAGACATAAGCAATGCTCCCTCTCCCCCCTCCACCCCCCCGGTATTGATAATAATAATCCTTGCATTTGATAGAGTGCCTTATCACGTCATTGTGACGCCTCAAAGCGCTTCAAAGCGTACACTGTAAAGTGTAGTGACTGCATATTTTTCACAGAGCGAGGGATAAAACCACAAGCTGTTATTGTCGGGATCCTGATCTCCAAAGTGTCTTGCTAGCTCGCTTGCCAACATTAGCGGCTTTAATAGCTTTCATTTGATACAGTGACTTTCACTTCAGGAGAGCGTCACAAAGTGCTTTCCAGGGCGTACTGTGAAATCCAGTGACTGTGTATTGTGTGGGCGATGGGGTTATAACAGATTCTCACTCTCCACTGTTTCCCCCACTTATTGCTCTGGACAAGGGAAAAAGGAGATGGACTTCATTTTCCAATCATAAAACAAATTAATAAACAGACTGACCCATTCCAACACCGTGAGGGCTAAAACATTTATAACATTCCCATTGGTTACGATTAAGAGTGAAGTGTGTATCTCAAAGGCATTTGAAAAGAATTAGAATTGATAGCTTGGAATGTGTAAAATAGGATGTCATCTAAATTTGAATTTAAATTCAATTTATTTTGCCTTGTTTTTAAAAATCGTGTGAACTGTCTGTTTATTTGTCTCCACAAAATTATCACGAGGAGTATAAACAGTGACAGAAATCTTATGTCCAATTACATGTTGAAGCTGTTCATTTGCTTCTGTCTGGAAGACAATTACAAAGGTGGTTTGGGTCTCTCAATCCTCAACCACCACAAGATGAATGCCTGCAACGAACAGTGCATCTGTAATATACAGTGACTCCGTACAGTCACACAGTGAGTAACCCTCACCCTGTAATCTTGACTGTCCAGTGCCTTGGGATGACCGACTTGAAAGGCGCTAAACAAATGTATTTGGTGGTGGTGTTATAATCAACACAGACTCCATACAGTCACACAGTGAGTAACCCTCGCACTCTCATAGGAAATGTACTCACCTACAGAACATCACTGTGTTACAGAGAGACAAGGAGTCACTCACCCACAGAACATCATTGTGTTATGGAGAGACAGGGAGACACTCACCCACAGAACATCACGATGTTATAGAGAGACGGGTTGTCTGCCAAAGGCACTGTCTGCTGGAGGCACAGTTGCTCGCAGCCGCCATTCATTCCATCCGAGCAGTCAATGCCGATGTGTCTATCGTAACAGCCAGAGCCATCCTTCATTGGGCTCAGTCCCACAGGGCACTGCAAGGAAGACAAAGGGACACTGGTCAAAACGGTAAGAGCATAGAACCATAGAATCATAGAAATTTACAGCACAGTAGGAGGCAATCTGGCCCATTTTGTCTGTGCCGTCTCTCTCTCTCTCTCTAGAGAGAGAGAGAGAGAGCAATCGTTTCAGTCGCATTTACCTGCCTTTTCCCTAAACCCCTGTAGCTGACTTTTTTTTAAGGTATCTGTCCAGCTCCTTCTTGAAGGGAATTAGGGTTAGGTTTAGGATTAATATGGATTTTGCCTCAACCACCACTCCTAGCAAGGCATTCCATAATTCAAAATCTCCCCCCACATCACCACCACTAACAGCTCGCATTTATATATAATGCCCTTCACACTTATATATTGTCCCAGAGCATTTGATAGTGGCTGAGCACAACTCCGATCCGGGAAGAAGGGGGGAGGTGACCATAGTCATGGTCAAAGAAGAAGGTCTTCACACACAAAAACAAGGAGCTACGACACCTCACTGGACTTCTGGAGGATTGCATAAGAAAGGCACGAAACCGGATTGGAAGCACAGAATACAAATGAGAGTATAGCAATCACGTAAGCACCACAGTCTTTGTTTGTGGTTGCTGCAAAATAAATGCCCTGAAAGAATTGCAGAACACAACAACAGAGAGAAGTTGTCAGAGGAACATGATTTGCCCTATTTGTCCATTTTAACAAATCCTTATTCAGAGACAACTGAATAAACATGTCTAATAAACACAACTGCTGCAGTTCGCTTGATAGGAAAAATTACATTCGAGCTGTCGCTAAAAATTAGAAAGGCGGTTGGATTAAATTGAACTGTGAGATATAGCATTTTATCACCTCATTGAGATGTTTCAAAGTACTTCACAGGTTTCGGCTGTGATGTGTACTGATTGTGTATTTCACAAGATCACAAGATTGCTTTGGACGAGGAAGCCCTTCGGCCCATCTGATCTCATCCCTCCAGAACACCCCCACTCTACTGGCCTCCCATCACAGCATCAAGCTGTTTTTTAAATGAGTTCAGTGTCGTGGCTTCAACCACTGTTCCTGGCAACCAGCTCCAGTCATTGATTATCCTCTAAAGAAAAGTTTCCTGGTGTCTGTCCTGAAATTGCCCTTTACAATTTTGAAACTTATATCATCTTGCTCTCCTGCCTTGATGCATCCCAAAGTACTGTTCAGAGAATCATGGAATTGTACAGCACAGAAGGAGGCCATTCAACCCATCATGTCTGTGCAGGCTCTTTTAAAAGAGCTATCCAAATTAATCCCACTCACCCACTCTCTCCCCATAGCGCCCCTCATGCAGGATGGCGTCCCAGAATGATTGATGGTGATGGAGCCTGACTTCGAGCCAGTAGAAGGTGACCATAAGCACGGTTGAAGAGGAATGTCTTCAGCCGCGACATGAAGATGGGGAAGGATGAGGCCAGAGAGAGGGATTGAGGGAGAGTGTCCTAGAGTTTTAGGATGTAGTGGCTGAAAGTGCGGCCACCAATGGTGGAATGGAGAGCACAACGGACATGAAGGAGGCCGGAGCCAGTCGAGCGGAGGCAGCGGGTGATGGGTTATAATAATATAATAATCCTTGCATTTGCTAAAGCGCTTTTCACGTCTTTGAGATGTCTAAAACGGTTCACAGAATATACTCTAAAGTGATTTGACTGTATATTTTGTGGACGAAACGTGGCAGCCAAGTGTGCACAGCAGTGTCCCTCAAACAGTCGTGGATTGAGTGACCAAATTATTATTTTTTTTTATCTTGAGGGATTATTATCAGGCCTGTGGAGTAAGGAAACTTGGGGAATAATCAGGTCGGTCGAAGAAAAAGGGAGGTGCCAGAGTCTGACGGGATTTGAAGATGAGTGTGAGGGTCTTGAAATCGATGCGTGCATTGACAGGGAGTCAGTGGAGCCTGGCGAGGACTGGTGCAATGAGGGTTACGGAGCTTACAGTCGCCCTATGAAGTGTCTCACAATCACTGGAGAATATCCCAAAGTCACACCTTTCTGCAGTGTGACTTTTAGCTTTTACTAAATTTTTTCATTCAAACAATATGAAAAATAAATACTGCGGCAATGATCGCTGTGGCAATGTTCCGTGAACAATGAATGAAGACACCATCCTCGTGCAATAATTTTTAAAATCTCAAAACTCACCCAGTGAAAAATAAATGCAGAAACTTTATATTAAATAGGGACCAGATCTTCTGACCAAGAACTTGTTGTCTACTGATCCACATCCGCAGAAACACATTCACCCTCTGAGAGATTTTTTTTATATTAAACCTTTCCTTTTTTATATTCCCACAAACAACAACTATTTGTATTTATGCAGGACCTTTCATATCGGGAGGATGTCTCAAAGTGCTTCACAGAGTTGACTAGGGAACCAAGCTGAGTGAGGAAGTGTGGGGGGTGGGGGTTGGTGGGGTGGGTGTCTAGATGAGTGGGAAAAGGACACAGAGATGAGGAGAAATTAGAGAGGTTAGGATTCTTTCCATTGGAGCAGAGAAGCATGAGAGGTGATGAGATCGAGGTGTTTAATAATATTGCTTGCATTTGATATGCTGTCTAATTTAAAAAATCACAAGGTGCCTCACTGTACAGTGGATTGACCATATATTTTTGTGGGCAAAATGGAGCAGCTCCATTGTGCACTACATTGTTCCACAAACACCCATGGAGTGTGTGACTGACCTTATTTGGGGGGTAGTTGGCCAGGACACCAGGAGAGAGAAACTCCCTCGTCTTTTCCAATAGCGCCGCGGGATCTTTAACATCTACGAGAACAGGCAGACGGGACCTCGGTTTACCGTCTCATCTGAAGGCTGGAGCATCTGACAACCCAGTGCCCTCTCTCAACGCCACAGTGAAGTGTCAGCCTAGACTGCGAGGTCCAAGTCCTGAACACGGAGATTGAACCCACCCCTATCTTCGTGATCCAGAGGTGGGAGTGTTACCAACAGAGCGTCACTCCTCTGGCCCGATCCACTTCAGTCCCGATTCCCAGGCCATTTTTAAAATTGTTCCTCTTCAACACACACCCGAGCCAGTTGCACATCCCCAAAGGCAACGAAAGAAACCCTATCAGCCTGGGGCTGAATTCAAGCCTCAAACCAGGAGAACGAGAGAGGCAGCCAGCTGCCTCGTGATGGAGGTGAGGTGACCTATTTGGGAGACAGACAGACCTGTACAGCTCACTCACTCCCCGCTGACGGTCTCTCTTGCAGCAGAAATCCATTCCATGCAGCCCGAGCTGATATTTAACCAGAAAGATTTCTTCATCAATCACTGTCTGCTGGAGGTTACCCAAACTTCACCTTAATCTCAGGAACACAGGCTGTTCTCTTTTGAAACACGCCGAGCCCATGTTGCGGCTACATTAAAACCATCTGCACGTTTCTTTAAATAACTGTTTGATCCCAGGCAGGGTGTTGGTGCAATGCATTAGGGCTTTGAACGCCCTGCGTTGCGAGATTCTCGGCCAGTAGCTTGTACTTTGAGTTCGTGAAATCAACTCTACTGTTAAGGTTTTGGAAGAGGGCAGGAGGCACTGAAATGAAGAGAAACTACTAAGGAGGAGCGTAAGAAAGGACTCGCCTTATAGCGTCTTATCACATCAGAATAATAACAATAATAATACTTGATTTGATGTAGCGTGACTGTGAGACGTCTCCCAGGGTGACTGTAAGCTCTGTACCCCCATCACACCAGTTCTAGCCAGGCCCCACTGACTCCCTATCACCGAACGGATCGATTTCAAGATCCTCACACACGTCTTGAAATCCCTTCATGCCCTGGCACCTCCGTACCTCTCCATACCATGTCGTTGAGACATATAATAAAGTGCATGGTATAATAAAAATGCTTCTATTTGATAGCTACCCGAAACAAATCAAAACTGCTTTTCGGTAATTGCTGTGAAGCACAGTAATGGATGATGAAATGCGGCAGCCAGTTTGCGCACAAGAATGTCTCACAGTCAGCCATGGAGTGAGTGACCAATTTTATTTGGGGGATTGTTGGCCAGGACACCAGGAGAGAGAAACTCCTTTCTCTTTTTCCAATAATAATAATAATCATTTCATTTGACATAGGGCTTTTCACGTGTTCTAGACGTCTCAAAGCGCTTCACAGAATATACTGTAAAGTGAATTGACTGTATTTTTTTTGTGGGCAAACCGTGGGAGCCAATTGCGCACAGCTGCATCCCACAAACAGTCATGGATTGAAGTGACCAATTTATTATTGTTTTTTTTCTTGAGGGATTATTATCAGACATGTGGAGTAAGGAAACTTGCCCAAGGTTTCGCCCTGCGGGGAATCGAACCCAGGTCTCTCACTTGCGAGGCGAGTGCTCTAATCACTGAGCTACAGGACTCCACGTAGCTCAGTGGAGTCCTGAGTGTCACGGGATCTTTAATGTCCACCTGACGAGGCGGGTCCTTGGTTTAACGTCTCATCCAAAAGACAGCACTTCAGACAATGCAGCACACCGACAACACCACACTGGAGTATTAGCTATCTGATCAGTACTAGGCATATTGCTTGCTCTTTTCTCCTGGTTCCTTTTGTACACGGCTTGGGTATAATCAATGAAGAGTGCACGGGACTCAGTAAGAGCTTGCAGCTTGATATCGAGCATCATTTGATATAAACTCCAGGTAATATATAATCTGTCACTCTCAGATCATTCAAAGATTGCCCGCCAATCTGCACCTCTCCATCTCAAACACCCAATTCTGCCTTCTGACATTCATTCTCATCGACCGCAGATGATGAGCTTATTATCATCATCAGCTTCTGTCAATCTTTTCTTTTTACATTTTGCTTTATAATCAGGATCCCTGTCAAATTTTAAGCAATGTTGTATTTGCCAGAGGACCGAAATCTCAGCTCTCCTGTCTGGGTGGGGGGAGAAAGGTGTAACGATGAAAGGTTCATAATGGGATGGGTAACATTCATATACTTACACACCTTCTATGT